CAAGCAGCTGTGGATGTGCCAGCGGCAGGCACTGAGCGGAGGCATGTTCGGGAGATGTAGGCAGGGTCCCCGGGGCCATGTCTGCGTGTTGTCATCGGGGAGTCAGGGCTCTTGCTGTCCACCTTGGCCACCCGGGTGAGGGAGGAGAGGGGACAGCGAGCTGGTTAGGCCCCTGTGGGGAGCCGTGGACTGAGTACCTCAGTGTCCGTGGTGCTGAGAAGACTGGACTGGGGTGACTGCTACGTCCCGCCTTCACTGGCAGCCAGGTGACCTGTCCCCACCCCAGCCCTGTCATGCCCTGAAGTCACCGATGGGCTTGTTCCTGGAGGAGGAGACAGCCTTTCCTCACATGGAGAAGTAAGAGCGGAAGGCCAGTGCACCAATCCTAACCTCGTCAACTTACACAAAACAGCCAGGCCCACAGGCAGACACTGTGCCCAGCTGGCAGCTTGCTAACACCTGAGTCACCGGCTCCCCCAGTGTCTAACACGTGGCACGGATGTGAAACAACCCGGCTGCTGCCCCTTCAGAACCTGCTCAGCGCCGAGTCTCACAAAAAAAATACTGCAGCCTAGCCTGTGTGGCTCAGTGGTTGAGCACTGACCTACAAACCAGCAGGTCATGGTTGGATTCCCAGTCAGGGCACATGTCCAGGTTGTGGGCTCAATCCCCCGTGTGGGACATGCAGGAGGCAGCCGATCCATGATTCTCTCATCGTTGATGTTTCTATGTCTCTCTCCCTTCCTCTCTGAAATCACTGAAAACGTATTTAAAACAAAACACTGTAAAGGCTTTTGTGTAAACACCCCCTTTGCTAAAGCAGCCGGTAGAGTCTGGGTGCGTCCCTGTTCCTATGGCAGCACCTGCTTCCTCGGGGAAGGAAGAAGAAAGGCCAGTAACGCGCCCTGAACTTCATCTCGCCAGGAACCCGGCTCAGAAGAGCCCAGTTTGGGATAAAATTCCCTTTTCCTTTTTTCTGGATAATTTTCAAGAACACTAGTTCTGGTCCTTTCAAAGTCCAAGGAGCTCCGGTGGAATTTCCTGCTTGTAAGATTGCCGATGACCAAAATAAGACACGGCGTTTCTCGCCCTCTCTGTATGGAAAAGCAGCCATTTCTCTGGACACGTTCCTGGGTCTGCCCAACACCTCGGCGCCAGGTGGGGTGGCGTCTCCCAAACCCGGCTGTGGAGGCGGCAACGATGAGGGCAGATCTCGCTGCTCTAGGGGTTGCCAGGTGGACAGTCAGGTAGAGGAGGGTGTGTTTGGAGGTGCTGTAAGATTTACTTGAAAATTTTAGGCCAAGAAGTTCAGAAGTGCCTGGTGGATGGTTCTTCATACTTTAAAACCAGGTGGGTATGCACTTCAGCTTCATCTAAATAACAAATACATATTTTCAGTGTGGAGCCGTCTGCCCAGTTCCGATGAGGCAGATGCGCCGGGTGCCTTGTCAGAGCACATGCCTGTGCCAGGCACTTTGTCTGAGCGCACGCCTGCAATGAGCCGGCAGAGGCCACAGCACCTGCCCTGTGGAGTTTGGCCTAAACCCCGCCCAGTAACCTCCCTGGTAACTCACACGGAAGAACCTGAGTTTTGAGAGCATTACACATTTACATACACACACATCCATGTATACATATGTACCTCTATGTATACATGTACAAAACAGAGGTATGATACACCACAAGGATGCCAGGACCCAGGCCAAGGAAAGTGACTCCGTGGGTAAGAGGACATTGGAGGCTGTTAGTCTGAGCTGATGCGTGACATGGAGTGAGCATCCTCCAGCCCACAGGTCCTGCCCCGAGCTCTGAGCACAGCCTGCTCCGCCTTCTCTGTTTCTAAGGGTAGAAGCAATGGGGACAGCTGTGCTTAAAGGGGCTGCGGCCCAGGCTTTTCCAGCTAAAGCAGCTCCTTCGTGCTTTCCTCCTGCTCTGGACCTGCGTTCAGAGCCAGTTCTGCAGCATCTCTCCCAATGGCCTGCCTTTCCTACCTTCCTGTACACGCAGAGCCGTTCCGTCCCTACTCTACTGCTCACAAATGGCCCCCGAAGGCCCAGCTGCCGCCTCCTCCAGTGCCCCCTCTCCCAAGTGCCACAGGGCCCAGTGCCCATCACGAAACACGGCGCACTCCACTCCGGTTATGGTTATGTGTCCAAACGGCTGCCTCACCAGCAAGGGCTTCTCAGGAATCTGAAAAGCCCACAGGCCCTGGCAGCGCACCAAGAACATAATGTTAGAGTCCGGGCCTGAAGTGCCTTCGTGGATGGGCAGGTGCGAGCCGCCTGCCTGCAGTTTTGGGGGCAGGGGATTCTCCTCCCCACCCCCAGCCTCACTAAGATTTTCTGCCTCCCGGGAGCCGCTCAGCCGGAGAGACCATTGTAGCCAACGTTTACTGGATGCTCAGCAGGCAGGCACGGAGCCGGGAACTCTAGCATGCATTACCTCATCTGGTCCTCCTGGTCCCTGAGGACCAGAGGGAGGAAGTGTGGACCCTCAAGGCCTGTCCCAGGTCCCGCGGCCAGGAGAGCGCAGGGCAGTCTGAACGTGCACTCAGCCAGGGGACTGCCACCCCCTCTGTAAAATGATGAATAAAACAAAGCATGCGCCGATTTGGAATACCGTCACTTTAGAATACCCAGCTGTCCCCAGGCCAGCGGCCTGTCCAGGTCCAGATGGCCAGTTCAGCCCTCCACCATCCGCTCACACTCCCTAGGTGAGACCTGCCCTCTCACATCCTGAGGAGGCTCCATTCCTCCTTCAAATACAGGGTGACAGGCCTGGGGTCTTGGGCTTCCTCCCTCTGGCCCAGGCACACCGGGACCTGCGCTGCAGCTTCATCTAAATAACAAATCCACGAGTGCATTTAAATACAACTTGAGCAGCTCAAATTCAATTTACACACAGAGTTTTAGGAATATATTAGATGAGGTGCCGCTGATTAAAATAGGGTGACCTTTAATGAGGTTATCGGATTCTATTCGACTCACCTGAAACTGACTTTTAACTAAAAGGGAGCCAGATCCTGGATCAGGTTATTGGCTATACCCTATTAAACACACTCATTCTCCAGATCAATAACATGAACATGGTATAATCTATGCCATAAAAAGCATCTCACCGGAGTGTCTCAGCACTTTTTCTGAAACTCACCCCCAAACCACCACCACCACGTAAATCCCTGACATTCTTTACAGTCAACACAGTGCTGTTCTGGTGCTTTCTTTGGCTTGGTTTTTCTTTTTTTAAATCTGTCACTTTAATATGTACATATGAACCTCCAAAAAAGCATGGTTTAGAGAAAAGGAATCCCTCACGTTTAAGTTACGGTTTAACTTAGCAGAACTACCAGGAACCTGAGAGTGTCTCAGCCCACCTCTCAGAAATAATAAAGGACAGACCAATCTTCCAGTGCGCTCTTCCTGGAAGCTAAGGGCCTGGCAACTCTCATCTGCCAGCCGGTGTTCCCAGGAGCGCCCTTCTTCCCTCACCAACTCGGGGACTGTTGTCCGCTGGGACCCTAACGCAGAATCCCTCTGGCCCATAACCCCAGTAAGCAGACCCCGTGGGCAGGGAGTGCATGGGCAGAACAGTCTCCACGTCTGAGCCGCACAGATACGGAAGCAGGTGCGCACAGCGAAGCAATGTATCTGCAGCGTCTTCACAAAAGAAGGGCGGAGACCACCCTGAGACGACCTATACGCCGCCATGTTCACCAGGACGGCATCCTCAAATTAGAATGTGCTTAAAGGGACAGCAGAGTCCATGTGGAGTTCAGAGTGAAGACCGGCTTCTAATCGGAAAACTGGTGGCTTTCTAGGGATGTATGTCCCCACCCCCACCCGGACGCCATCCCAAGCCTTTACTTCCCTTAGAACTTAGCGTCCTCCTCATGTTCCTGCCTCTCAGGCCTCTGTCTGGAGCACTTGGCAGCTGGTGAGGCTGGGCACAGGCCTCCATCGCCTCTGAAACACCGGCAGGCATCACGGTATGGCACTGCTCAGCCTAAATCCCTGCCTGGTGGTTTGCATAAAAGCTCGATTCAAAGAGCCTGTCCCACTCCAAAGAAAAGGAACAGACAAATGTATTAATCACATTTTCCTTTTAATAAAGGCTTTTTACTCAAAAGTGTAGCTTTGAAAATCTCTAGCTTGCTGTGAAAACCAGAAGCGCCAGGAAGCCACTTCACTCTGAACCTGGGCGCGGAAAACATGGCCGCTGGGTCTGCAAACTCCCTCCCAGCACTGGGAATCAAATGCATCACTTTAAGTGCAGGGCCAACATTTGAAACTAGGAATGATGCATGTCCTACATTGATTCAAGGAGAAAGGACACATTCTTAATACAGTAAACAAACCACAAAAAGTAAACAAATCTTTAGAAATCACTAGGTGTGTGTGTGTGTGTAATTATATAATTAGGGTTATCATCAACATTTAAAACTAATAAAAAATAAGGTTGCCACCTTACTTCCTCTATTGGTAATGGAGTGTTACATTTTTAGGGGAAAAAAGATTCTGCACAGACAAGTTTCCAAACCTCCAGCCCGTTCTTGGCTGTACAACTGCACCCCCTTCCCGCACGGAGCCCCAGCCCCCAACACGGCCCGTTTGGCAGGAGGCAGAGCGGGCCTTCATTCTGGCTGTCACGATGACAGGCCCACAAAAGCACAGCTGAGCGAGGAGCTAATTCTTCCCCAGGAAGAAAACACTTTGCCCACAATGGCTCTGCACCATCTTCCACGGCTCCTCTCTGCCCCCTTCGCTGTCATAGTTTGATAACTTGTTTTTGCCTAAAAGCAAGATGGCAATCTTAATCAAAAGGGGAAGCTAGATTTTTTTAAATAACTTAAAAAATTATTTTTATATAAAGCAGCAAAAACACTTTCCTCTCTGCAAAAAAGAAAAAAAAGAAAAAAAAACCACAACAAAAACGTGAAACCAGGGACCACAGCGATATCAAGGGACTGTCCGTAACCCGGAACAAGCTCAGGCAGAGCGCCCTCAGAGCTGCTCGCTGACTCCCTCGGGGCTCTCCGAGGGCTCTTTGGCGTCTTCGGTCGCTCTTTTCCTTTCCTCTGGATCTAAACTTTCCTTTTCTAACCTGGTCCCGTTGGGAATAGAGTTCTGGCCACTCATGGGCCCGTTTTCCGCAGCCTTTGCTCGGCTGACCACCTCAGAGAGGGTGAGGGCCTCCTGCACGCCAGCCTCCTCCTCCAGGCTGCGCAGGACCAGCGGCAGCCTCGAGTCCGCCCCGCCGCCCTCCAGCAGCCCTGGGTTACTCTCCTCATACTTGGGCAGCGGCGCCCCCTCCTCCATTTGCTTGCGGTAATACTCCCGGTTGGCAGCTGCACTCTTCACTGCCTTTTCCAAAATCTCTTTTTCACCCAAGCGCAACTTGATGGCCATTCTCGCACGAACAGAAAGGTCATGGTTTTTCAAGAAGGACTTGTCTTCCTAGGAAATAGAAAAGAGCACAATCGCAAGAAGTTTAAATCCAGCAAAACTACAGAGATAGAATGCAGATCAGCCGCTGCTGGGGGTGAGGGGCATGAGGGACATTTTGGGGGTAACATGGGTTTTAGAACTTGACTGTGGAGGTGGCTGCATAATGGTATATTCACATTATAATGTACACTTCAGCAGTGTGACTGTGCTGTGTGTGAACTATCTGTATATATATAGAAGGCTAATATGCTCAGTGTACAATCCTCTGACTGATTGCTATGATGCATACTGATCACCAGGGGGCAGACGCACAATGCAGGAGCTGCTGAGCTGCAGTGACTTCACAGTGGTGGTTCTCGGGTGATGCACCCCAAAATCAGAGAGGAGGGAGCCCAATTCTTTGTGAGGTCTGATGATTCCATCTTTGGCCATGGGCTATGTTGTTGTTGGGGCACTGTCGACAGGAATCTGGTTTACTGCACACTTGCCTTTGCATTCCACACTGTACAGCAACTTTGCAGAGTACCCTCTCGCACTCTGGGACCCCTCGGGGGATGTTGAAGAGACAATTTCAGCCCAATCCCCAAAAGGCCAGGCTGAAGGGATTCCACCTTCCGGAGGAACCCCATTCATTGTGCAGATGCCCTTCGAGCCACAGCAACACCCCAGGTGCAGGTGGCCAGGGAGGGACCATAAGAGGTTGGCTCCAGGGCATGTCTGGCCCATCTCGCCCAGTCCCACCCCACCAGCCACCTTCTAATTAATTTCCTTTCAATGTGCACAAATCCATGCATCAGGTCACTAGTGCCTCAATGAAGCAGTCATAAAACAAAAATGAGGCCTAACTCAAATGGTGCTTTAACACATGGGACAGAGAACCTTTTAAAAGGAAGTGAGGTTTTAAAGGTTCTCTGGCCCTGACCAGTTTGGCTCAGTGGATAGTGTGTCGGCCTGCGGACTCACAGGTCCCAGGTTCCATTCCGGTTTGGGGCATATGCCTTGGTTGCGGCACATCCCCAGTGGGAGGTGTGCAGGAGGCGCTGATTGATGTTTCTCTCTCATCAATGTTTCTGGCTCTCTCTCCCTCTCCCTTCCTCTCTGTAAAAAATCAATAAAATATATTAAAAATAAATAGATAAGATAGATAGATAAAAATAAAAGGTTCTCTGGTCTTGTGCAGGAATGGGCCCAGAGCTCAGCCCTTGGCTGAATGAATAGGTGGATGAATGAATGAGAAACACTTTGAGTTAGTGCCTCAAGAGCCAACTTGGAAAGCACAGGTGAGAGCTTCTAGCTGTTGTATCGTGTGAAGTAGAAATTATAGAGAAGAATCAAATCATGTAAACATATTTTCTAATCAACAATGCCTCAATATGATTTTAGTGAGTGCAAACATGTTAAATAGGAGAAAAGAATTATATAATAGCAATTTACATGTAGGAAGGAATCTCTTATTAAGCATATTTTAAAACATGACAAAGATCAAATCCTCATTCAATCAAGTTACCTCACTGGTTGTCTTATACGTTTTTAAAAGAAGTGAGGCTCGATCTTCAAGAAATGTCCAGAGTTTGACCTCGTTGTCCCAGCTCACAGGATACTCAGAGTTACCCAAGGTGAAAATTTTGTCGATAGCATTATCTCCTAGCAAATGTTCCTTCAGTTCTTCTACGAGAAGCACAAACAGCCATCTGTTAGCGGAAACAGCACTCCTCATTCAAACAAGCAATCCACCTTACAAAACAGCTTCTCCAAAGACATAGCTTTCCTGCAACTCGTCAGCCAGGCCACGTCTAGGCTCACCGGAGTGAGTGGGAGCTGAGTGTTGGGCAAGAAATCAAGGGGAGGGCTTCCAGCTGGGTCCACAGGAAGCCTCCGTCTTCATGGTGTTTCTGAGGGGCACTAAGAGCTGTAGGCAGGCTTAGGAGATAGTTTTAAAAAGACTATCTACAGCGGCATATGGACAACACCCTCCCTATAGCCGTTAGCTCCATCATACCAACCGGACAAAAAGACATTTAGGTGAACAACATAAAGAGTGAAAACAAACGGCACCAGAACACTTGGCGAACCTTCGAAATTATATCTGATCAGGGCTATGCCAATAGTTGATCTGGCCAAGCTATTTAGCCATACTTACAACAAGCCACAAACCTAAGAAAAACAAGAAAACAGACTAGAAACTTTAGTTAATGAAAAACGTGCGGATGTCCACTTGTCAGGAATTTAAATAGCAATTACAAATAAACGCAAGTGAACATCTCAATTTCCTTCAACTATATTTAAAAGGAAAGGACTCAACAACTGCTCAGAGCAGCTTCTCTCTTGGCACATTATCTTCAAAAGACCAAAACATGCTGTCCTATTCATGCTCAAGAAACCCACCGGCTCCTTATGCAATTATAAGACAGGATCTCTTTCAGAGCAAAATGCCCCGCAGCTGTCACTGTTTACAATTCAAATGCAAGGACTTCTGTTGCCAGCAAACCAAACTTTTATCAGTATTAAGAGTAATTCCAAGGATACATCAATTGTCTTGACATGACAAACTGTCTGACTAAAGAGAAATGGGGGAAAAAAAATCACATCCAATCTAAAATGATTCAAGTAGTTCCTCTTTTTAAACAAGACAGAAGCTAATATAATATTAAAAAAAGAAATTCATTAAGTCACCTTTATTAGAAGATTGAGAACACTTGGGTTTTTAGATTTTTGATCCTTCAGTTTATATTCTTTTATAAAGTGACTAGAGGCCCGGGGCATGAAATTCATGCACAGAAGGAAGGAGGTCCCCTCAGCCCAGTCTGCACCCTCTCCAATCTGGGACCACCTCGAGGGATGTTTGACTGCCCATTTGGGATCAGGCCTACATGGGCAGTTGGACAGCTCTCTCACAATCCAGGATGCTGGCTCCCAACCGCTTGCTTGCCTGCCTGATTGCCACTAACTTCTTCTGCCTGCCAGCTTGATCAGCCCTTAACCACTCCCCAGCCAGCCTGATCAATGCCTAACTGCCCTCCCCTGCAGGCCCGGTCACACCCAACTGCCTTCCCCCTGCAGGTCTGATGACCCACAACTGTCTTCCCCTGCTGGCCATCTTGCGGCAGCCATCTTTTGTCCCCATGGGGGCTGCCATTTTGTGTGTTGGTCAATTTACACATTACCTCTTTATTATATAGGATGGAAAGTATTAAAAATGTTCCTTTAGTGGTTGTTTTTGGAAGCCCCCCAATACTGAGATTACTGTTTTCATGTTTTTCCATGACTGACCTGTGCTACACCTCCGTGCGGGCGAGCTGAGGAGCTCGGCCTTCTCTCTCCGCCCCTTCCGAACAGGGAGATTGCACTCATTCCCCATTACTGGCGGGGCCAATGCCACACAGGGGAAAAGAGGCAGTCACCAGGAGAAGGACTAGGAACACTCGGGAAAGGAACCCAAGGCTCGTGCAGTGGGCTGCCTTCCGGGCTTTCCCGTTAACAGATGCTGGAGCCAGCCCTGTCCTCAGGGCGTTCCTCAGCTTCAGCTGCCACTACAGGAGAGAGCATCTGGTCACCCAAGGTGGCTGGCACCCTCGCTCCTCAGCCTGGCTCCAGCAGGCCCTGGGGGACCAGGATCTCTTCTGTGGATCATGTCATTTACACACCAACAGCATCCATGTGGGATGCCTGGTGCGGGCTCTGGAATTAGCCGAGTCAGGCTCATCACCTGCTGGCAGAGTGGCCAAGCCCCCTGTCCTCTGTGAACTGGTGTCTATATCAGGCCTGTGGGAACCCCTCTCTCACCAGGTGACAGCGATTAGCATAAAGTATGAGACACACTTAAGTGTCGCGTGGGGCACGCAGTGGGTCATCATGACCATCGCCTCTTCATTATAAATGCCTTCAGCATATAAACTGTGACACTGAACTCTGTGCCCTTATATTACATGCAAGAAAAGCCCACAGTTAACCCATCACTTGGCTCATTAAACAGAACTGATGAACCCCTACCTAAGCACGGTTACCTCAAGCTCTCACCTGAGTGACAGTGAGGCTGCGTGAGAGAGACAAGTGCCACCCAGCGGCTTGGCAGGTCCTGCAGTTGGTGTCTAAATGGCCCCTCTGTGTAGGACTAAGTGTCCCCTACCTCCATCCTGGGGAGGGCCTGGTCCAGGCAGCACTTCTCTGGGACCCAGACATGAAGCCAAGGAGCTGGGGATGGGTCCCCAATGCCCTTCCCAGGCAGCTGTGGGCAGGACACTCACTTGTCTGTTCAATTAGACGGTCACTTGCTCGCTCGCTCCCTCACTCTCTCCTACCGCTCTGTTTTGCACACATGGGGTTTAAGGGAGTTGACAAGAACAGCAAACACACACAATTAAAAATGAAGCCTCAGCACCCGAGTATGTGCAGCAGTTTTATATGAAAAAACAAACAAACAAACAAACAAACAAAAACAACCACACTAAGTCTCAGTAAGAACTCCAAAAGACTGTCTTCAGCAAACATTAACTAGATTCTCAATACATATATATTTAACTCTTGCTGTGACGGAGGATGGAGGTAAGCACATTGTGACTGAAGCAGATGGTTTGCAGAGGTATTTATTCTAACCTGACGCCCAGAATTGAAAGGCCTGCTGGTGACATCAGGTCAGAGCCCCGAGCTGGCTAACAAAGGCAGCCCTGTGGCCCGCGGAGGCCGCTGCTGCCCAGTGATTTCACTGTGGACTCAGCGCTAACAGTTCTGGGCACGGAGAGCAGCACACGGCAGGGAAATGACACTGCCATCCTGGGCAAAAGGCACTCCAACGACTCCCATTCCAAATGTAACTTCCGACACAGCCAGACAAGCCAAGACGTTTTAAGTTTTCTTCCAACAAGGTAGGAAGAAATGAATATTGACAACACATCAAGGATTTAATAAAATATTGCCTGAGTAAAATAGAACTTCTTTTTCCATTGCTGCTATCCTACCTCCTGCCAAAAGGTCCTTTAGTTTTCAGCAATTTTATCTTTAACCTGATCCCAATGCTTTACATTTTCATGAGTTTGGACAAGTGACCATTTTCTTCCTGAAATGACTTTACCTTCACTCATGCAGAACACCCGGAGAAAAGCCAGCAGCTGGGCAGAGATGGGCGGCTCCGTGAAGTGCAGGGCGAACACGCTGGACCTGCCGGGACAGGAAGGTCAGGCACCTGCTGGCTCCAGAGAAGCCCCTCCGCTGCATCCCCGGGCCGCCCTCAGGAGCGGGCAGCTCCTCGCCGCCACTACCAAAGCCCCTGGTACAGGGGAGGCCGCTGACCCACAAGCAGCGTGACCGTCTCGGCTGGCCGTTCTTACATTCTAACGGGCTAACGGCAGGTTGCATACAACACCCTAAGAGAACTAAGCATACCTGTGGTTCCTAAAAAATGTTAACAATAATTTATGTTGAGTTCACATTTTAATCATGAATCAAATATTGACAAGTTCAATGAAAAAAGGCCTGGATAATCCATTTTCATTAAGAATGGTTCCTCCGTTCCCCAGAGAACTAATGAATCATAATGCTTGTCCTCTTTATCATTTTGCACCTCCAACGCACTAAAATCTTAAAGAATTTAAGTAGGAATTCTCGAAATCGCTGAGGATCACGACTTCATTACAGAAACTAATGGTGGCAAAGAATTAAATGAAACAAAATGATCCAGGTCATTAACCTTTTCAAGGTGAAAGACATTAATGACAGCAAAGTAGTTATTTAACTTGATGAGGATTTCAGGCCACATGCCCTGGAACTGCCCGGGAGGCTCCCAGTGACACCATTGTGTTTACGGAGGCACTGGGACCCCACCAGGCAGCTCTGTGGGTAGGCTGCTGTGCAGCGGGGATAAAGGGATTAAGGCCAACTGCAGAGAAGCTCCGTTAGCACACATTAAGCAGCGGTAAGCGTTTCAAGCAGCACAGCAAAGAGCGGACCGGTTTTTTACGTACGTGGGGATGCCGGCACGGGCCAACACCTCGGCCTTCATCGCGTAGAGCCTGTCACTTTTACTCACTCCAAGCTTTATTTTCACTCTGTCGTGTGAATTATTGTCAAAGAAAAAACCACTGTGGATCACAAACTCTGCATTTGACCGAGTGCCATAAAAAATGTAAATCTGAGATGCAGCAAAGAAAAAAATAAGGGACATAAAAGAAACTTAACATCAATTCTTAACACAGAGCATGGCAAAGGATCAGTTCTTATATACTTAACATGACTGTACTCTAAGGCAACGAGGCAGATCTGTACTGACTTGGGTCCTATTCTGTAACCACCTGTGCTAGCGGGAGGTTTCGGCAAGGGGTGCAGTTTCCCCAACTTCCCCAACCTTCCTGGAGGCCAGAGCCTCACTTCCGCCGCCCCAGGTCTCCCTGCACAGGAGCCAGGCCTTCCTCACAGTCCTGCCCCCTGGGGAAATAGGGCTATTACTTCACCAATGCCCTCCACATTCACCACGCTCCTCCCCTGCTTTCAGTACAAGACCACTCTAATGGAGTGAGTTTAAAGCATGTCTGCCAGAAATTCCTATGGCAATTCTAACCTAGCAGGTTTCTGCAAAGAGCAGATCAGTACTTTGTTAGACAAATAGTCTTCATTTTGTCTCAATTGAACGTCACTGATCTACACCAGTCCTGTGTGTTTTTTTTGGTTTTTATTTTTATTTTTATTTTTTTTTTATTTTTTTTTTTGGTATTATCTAGTTGGTCATAAGACCAGTAGATAGTATGAAGTTATTTGCAGGTGGCTATTTTCAAATCTTACTGAAAGGTTTAATCCTGCCCATATTATTAAATAAAAATCCACAGATTAAAGTACAAGAAGATAGATTTTGTAGTTCCTTTATGTTTTTATCAAATAGTCTTAACGGTTCTAGTCAACAGGAAAAAAAAAAAAAAACAATGAAGTTTATAAACTGAAGAATTTGTTCTACTGTCATAACACAAAGTTTGTTTTCAGTTGACAACTTTGCAAATATTAGGTCAATTGTGCAAATAACTTCATTTAAGTCTTTTTGTTGTTGTGGATGCAAAGGTCTGATGCAAAGCACAATGTGTTTGCAGCAGCTTTATGCGTTCCCAAACAATCCTCAATAGAAGTCACCCGTTTTTCTGCCCGACCCAGCATGAGCTCAGTGCCCACTGGCCTGCCCCCACTCTGGCAGCCGGACCTACCTGTTCTCCAGCCCGGAAGTCCTGCAGAGCCACACACTCACAGCGGTCGTCCTCCAAGTTGTACCCAGTGGTGATCTGGGGGGACAAGAAGGGTTTTTCAATCAGAAGGGTCTTTTTTGGGCAAGTAGAGAATAAAAGCTACCCACAGCTACTTAAAAGGGTGCACTGTGCATGCTTTATAAAACTGAGCAAAGAACTAACTCCATGGTTATTTTAAATTAATACTATTTACACCAGAAATTCTTGTGAAAAATTCTATACTTGAAAGACGTACTCTTAGGAAAATATATTCACTTAGAGGCCCAGCACACAAAATTTGTGTGCGGTACAGTCCCTAGGCTTGACCTGCAATCAGGGCCATCCTCCTCAGCTGCTGCAGCCAGCCCCGCCCCCTACCACCACCCATCCCCTGATTTTCCAGTGATCAGTGCCTGATGGCCAGGGATCGGGGGGTTAGTGGTGAGGGGAGAGGGGGGTAGGGGACTGAGAGATTGGCTGTTCCCGCCCTGCCCCTGATGTGGGTAGCTATCAGGCAATCGGAGCCTGCTGGCTGGGGAAAGGGACCAAGAGGTAGCCAGTGCACCTCATAGTGACTGGTCTAGTGGTTGTTCTGCCAATAGGGTCAATTTGCATATTACCCTTTTATTATATAGGATAGATTATCACTTGGTCTAAAAAACAGACCATTTATTACAAAGTTCCTGTCTTGGGCCTGGCCCCCAGGGCCAATGCTGTGGCTTTAGTCAACTCCATTGACTTGCAAATACTGTCTCTACCTAATGTCTGGCTTTTATGAAACTTAAGTGGGTTTTCCATAGAGAAAGAATAAGGGGAAAAGTAAAGCTCCATTTCTAACTTATGGGCATAATTTACTCTGAAATTAGAGAAATTAAAATGTTCAAGTAAGCACAGGAGAAACAACTTAGTTGTACCTTATTCACTTTCTGCTGAGAGCTGCCTTGTGAGAGTCCCTAAGCCCATTACAGATAAATACCAAACCCGCATCTCCGCCCTGGGAGGGGGGGGGTCAGGCAACGCCAAGGCCTAGGCCTCATGCCAACAAGGCCGTGAGTTTGACATGCTTGGTCTTGGCACTCAAGTCATAAAGAACTCTGCCCACCTCAGGGGGCGGCATTTTGTTTTCTAATTTTTCTTAGAGTGTTTCCTCCTCGGTCAGGCCCCTCCCTGCATGACTGAGGGCCTGGTTTTGTTTGCAAAACCTTCCAAGAGGCCCCCAATTCCAGGCCTGTCCTCCTGCAGCCTGAGCAACGGCACAGTGATGCCTTCCGTCCAAAACTTTCAGTACTCCACTCGCCTGTGGAGCCTCCTACATGCCATTGACCTGCCACACCAACCACCCTCATGCTGGGAATTACCCTCTGCGCCTGTTCCTCCAGAGACCCACCCCAGCCTCCTTCTGCACCCCCAGATCCCCTGTGCTGACACCCCACCACACACAGCAGGTATTTACCTGCATGTCGGCCCAGCCAGGCAGAGCAGGAGCTCCCCTTCACCTGTGTCTGGGGGCTCAGCACGATGCACCTAATACCTGACACTTCCTTTGAGAATCCTTCCTTGATGCACAAACCCCAGGCGGAAGAACAGGGCCTTCTTGAGAGGCTGTCCCTCCCCCACCCTAGGCTGTCTGTAAAGGCTCATTAATTACTTTTGAACTCTTCATTTTTGCCCTAAAGAATCAAAATTCAAGGCAAACAAGTGTTACTTGCTAAAAAAGGTACCAACAGTTTGGGTCCAAAATGTAAACACCTTGAGTCTAGGGATCAAAGACCATGTGACACTAACTGTTAAACTCAACACCCCCGAAGCAAGGGTATCTAACCAGTATCTAGAAGTCCTCCACACTGCTGCAAGAGCAGGAACAGGAACGCCATGAGAAATAAACGAAGCCAGGTATTCTGGCCGAAGAGCTCCATGAAGTTCCTACTCAACACTGAAGTAACATTTTGACCCCAAACACGACTTTGATAATAAGGTATGGGATAAGAACTGCTGACCAATTCCAGCCCTGAAGGTCTGGAACTCCAGTGTGGCCACACAAGGATGCCACAGGGCGAAGAGACAGGAAGGCAGTCAGGGAAAGCAGGAGGGACAGAGGAAGGGAACAAGGAAGTGGGAAAGGCCAACAACGCATAAAAATGAGCAGGTCGAAATGCAGCGAAATAGGACAGGAAGGGAGGCTTATGGAAGGGGCGCGAGATTTATCTTGGGCAGGGTGCTGGGGACAGCCTTGCTTGAGGAGTGCTGGGAGGAGGCCTGGAGACGTCCCAGGACAGTGGTACAGCAGAGGGAACAGCAGGTGCTGAGGAACCACAGGGGACTGGGCCTGAGTGAGGGCATGTAGTGGGGACAGGTCTCTTGCTACTGGGAAAACGTGGGCTTTTACTGGAAGACTCATGTGAATCTAAATGTTGTAGATTTTTCAAATCAAACAGAAAGACCCTGATTCTGCATGAGTTTCAAGGCTCCTACACCTTCACTGCAGTCACGCATTCAAACGGTCAGGGCCGATTACCCCAACACAGTACCCCCCAGAGCTCACACAGTGGCCTGCGCCCCACACAGCAGTGTGCTTCTCTGTAAATTCAACATCTCCAGACAGGAAACCTGCTGCTTCATGAATTCTGAACAAGACTCGCTGCAGTTAAAGACATGTTATTTCTCACAGCTTAAAACCACATCTCATACACTTGGTAACGTTTCTGCGAGTGGCCAGAATCAGTTCATGCTCACAGAGCCTGTAGCTGGGAGATCTGACCAGCCTTCATCTCCTCCTGCTTCCCGTGCTCCTCACTGCACCACCGCTTCCTGAGCAGGTTTGGAGACATTGTTGGAAGCACACAGCGTTGCTGGGTTACAAATTTCTGTCTACTCCCTCAATGACAGTCAGAACAGACAGACACCAACTGTCAGGATCGACACACACAGAAGAAAATCTACTGTCTGAAAAGCCAGCCTTAACTTCAAGTACCTTTTAAAAAGAGATTAGCTGCTAATACATAGCATACACAGTTCTGCAGTGTTAAAATAGATTCTTAAATTCTACCAGACGAAATTTCCCACCAGGGTGCACAATTACAATGAAAACAGCTCCACAAAGGGGTAGGTTAACCGTAAGAAAGGTTAACGTGGTGGTGGGTAAACCTGAAGGTGAGCAGTGTTTTTGCCAGGACTGTGGAGAGTTGAAGACGGTATTTAGAAAAAATACAGCATGAATAGTTGTCGTCAATGCGTTATTTTTGTTTTGAGACAATCTAATTTTTTCTTTACTTTTCGAGGGAAAAGTGAATAATTTAACCCGTTTACACGAAAGCAACATAAAAACCAGTGTGTTTGGAAGTGTGTGAGTGTGCACACGCGCAGTGAAGGTTGGGAGAGATGCACAGGAAGCCCTCACCGGTGACCTGGAGGCCCCGCACCTGGGCAGGACTGCATTCACAGCACCAGCTTCTGGACTGTTTTAACTGATTTTGTGTGTTTACAATAAAGCGTACTTTTAAATTTTTAGATATAAAAAAACCCCGTAATGATCAATTAAGTTTGGGAAATAATTATCTAATCCAAAATAAAGAAAAATACTACAGTCAAATATTAAAAGTTATTTGAAAATATTAAAACTTCAGTATTATGATCAGTTTAAAACAGCTCTGAAGGGAAAGTAAATTCAGAACCAAGAATGTAAAATATTATTCATTAATGAAAATAAATGGTAAAGCATGCTACTATTCCTCAAATGGCTAATGATATTAAGTATATATAAATTAAGGCAAAAATGTAAGTGTAAAGGTGGGACTGCTTGGCTATAATTTCAGCGTGTGTTTGTTGCTGGACCTTCTCAGGTCACAGGAGGGTATACGACTTTACTCATGCACTGACTGTTTTGTGAAATTAAATGTGAAATACTCATTCACAGCATTTTCCCATTCTACTCATAATACTCCCAATGATAACAAAAAAGATGACATGAAAAAAAATTAACCAAACCAGTATACCAGTATAAGGCTTAAAAATGCAAACTATTCTGAAGTTGATCCTATTTCGATGCGCTAACATCAGGAACTCTTTCTCAGACACCCATCTCTCAACAGAGCCATCAACCTCACTGTTACTTGAAATCCCGAGAATGCTGAGAAGCACAGAGCAACTTTCTCCTTCTGTGCATCGTAATTAACAATCGTCATAAAATTTCCGTTTTCTTCGGTCTGATAACACCAAATGAGTCCTGCAGTCAAGGCACCCCCCGCCCCAGCACCAGGAATCCAGCCCCAGCTCCTAAACAAAAGCAGCTTAATAATTGGGGCCAAGGATGTGTCAGGGTGTCAGGTGAAGGGAGGGGCAGGAAGGAGCCACAGAACCTTACATAACTGGAGTCCAGTCAGCAAAGGAAGCAAACAAGGAACATAAAAGGGAAACGAGAAAGGTTTTTCAATAAATCGGCATTTTAAAAAGAATAAGAAGACAAAAACTTGATTTAGCCTGTGGTTCAATAACGTAGGAAAATTAATGGTTAGGCTGGAATGATGGCTTCACAAATAAATGCAGTTCACTGCGGCTTTCAAAAGTGATGTCAGATTCAGGTTCCCGGTCGGTGCTCGGATTAAGAAGCACAAGGAGAGAAAAATACCAGCCTGTTTGTGGGCAGCGGGAGGGGTGTCTGCTCCCTTTGGAGGAGGCAATCAGGGGAGAAAATGGTTTGTAGGTGGAATGCCCACTTTCAAGTTTAACCACAATGGCTTCCCTGATTAAGCACAACGCCGCGGAGGTCATTACCAGGCCATTGGTGTGATTGCACATGTCCCACAGAGGAATGAGAGCCAGGGTTACCCGGGAACCGTCCTCCGTGGGAATCTGGTTTTGTCGTGTCATCACAGAAGAGACTGCCCACCTGTACGAAGCAGAGAAAAGGTGATTAGGGTCAGGACACCTGAAAGCCCGTCCCAGTAGAAACCTGAGCAGAAGCTGAGGCTGGTCTGACTGCTCCCCTCTCTGTAGAAGCCTTCCTAAGAGATAGGGGGGCTTCCTCCTCGGCATTTAACCCTGGGGCTGAGAGCAGGAAGGGGCGGTGGAAGGAAAGGGCGCCGCGGGGAGTCCAGGAGTGAGCTACTAAGGCACAATGTCCCCACCAAGCCCGAGGCCTGGAAGGAGACCCTGGAGGAGGGCGCAGAAAAGTTCTCCCGCCCTGGGCCTTCTCTGCCCCATCAAGACGAGCCCTCTTTTACCCAATGCTGAGTGAGTCTCTACCTCTGTGAAGCCTTAGTGAAAAGCAAATAATATAACTTTTTTTTTAAATCAGAAATCCTTTAAGAATGCTACAAAATATGGAGTGCTGGTTTTTATTATATTGTGCAGTGAATTAAATCATTTGTTCTAAACCAAGACCAAACTTTACACCAAGACAGTCTCTTTAAAAAGAAAAAAATTCTCACGACCACCCAAGTATATCACTTGGCTGCCTCAACTAATCCCCCACCATTACAGGTGAATGGCAATTTCTCCTCGGCTATCAAAACGCTGACACCGGTCCCAGCTGTCATCATAACTTCTGAAAAGACGGTCTCTGTCTTGAGGTTTTAAATGGCCACACAGGTTACTTCTTGCTGAAGCATTTCTCACTTCTCAGAGCCCAAATTCACTTAGAAACCACCCCCAACACACACACACACACACACACACACACACACACACCCATACCAACCTGTAGTCCTCGTAAGTGAAAGAATCCTTCAAGGGCAGTTTGTTGGCGTGAGGATGGGTCTGGGAATTAGCAGTTTTAGAAAGCAGAGGTGAGAAGAGAAAGGAAAACAGAAATCAGTCAGCAGAATTTCATTATTTAGCTGCCTAACAGATCCTAACAAGAGCCAAATGAAGCAGGAGGCGTCCAGCCGCTGCTGAGGGATCATCATGCTATTATGCTCTCATACATCACTGTCAACTTAATTTGTTGTGCCCAGCAGCCGCCATAAATCTGCTTTTTCCTCCTTCCATACCAGAACCCATGGACATGGCACAAAAATAAAATTTAAGGTGGACTGACTTCACAAAAGGTAGGCACGCCCACGCGACAGAAACCTGGAGCCCACCAAGTCCAGCGTCCAGCGTGCGGACTCCCTTTGTGTCTTGTGCCATAATGTGCTGCACGGCCCTTATGTCTAGATTTCAAATCTCCCCTTACATCAATAAAAGGGACAATTAAAGGCACTCTAATAAATGGAAAGTTCTTTCATTTATCTCTGACTTAAATCATTTGGATGGGAATTAATGTGCTATGTGCAAATGAATCTTCTACATGGTAAATGTGGCTCCGGGACAGAAAACCAGGAAAAACAGTTTTGTGAAATTACAAAATAAATTTTACAAACACATTTCTTTCTTTCTTTCTTTAAAAAAAAAAAAAAAAAAAAAAAAAGATCGCATATTTAAATTTTACTATTATACTTATTTTTCTGGGCAAAAGAACATTTGGTAAAAATACCCAAAACTTCACACTTACGAGAAAATTTTATATATTTCATATTTTCTCTTCACAACACTCCCCTCCTCTGCACCTCTGCACCTAGCAAGCACTAAAAACTTTGTTTCAATTAAAGAATTAAAAGCTGTATCAGTATCATTTTTATCTTCAGTTTCAATTACAGTCTGATAGACAGATTGCAGTAAGTGATCAAATGAACAAATGGTGATTTCTGAGATACAAATGAAATTCTGCTGTTCTGTGTCTGCACCACTGTTAATGCATGAAGCTCCATGTAGCACGCAGTTTTTACTCTTGACGCATTAGCATCACAAGTGCACAGTAATTTATCATCACTCACTGTAATGTACTCGCTGGCACCGTATGCAGGACAGTAGGGGATGAGGTAAAAGTGGCTCAAACCGTAAATCAATTAGAAAACAAAAGCTTGTGCTCAGTGCGCAATTTTAGGCAAATTATATATTACAAAAGGCTGCCAATTGGGTGTTAGCTCCCAGGTGCCCGCAGCTCCCCTCTAATCCCTAACCCAGTTTTAACCCTTTGGAAGGAAAGTCAACATATAAAAATAGTCACGTAGCTTTTAAGGGTTGTAATAAAAATGAAATTAAGAAGTTTTAAGCCAATACATAAAATAACGTGCTGCCCTGGGCATTTTCTAATTCCCCCAGGAATATCAGGAAAGCCTATTTTGGGGATTAAAAAGATAGATGCGTGCTCTGGTTTCTCTTCTTTCGCCTTTTACTGAAAAGATTGATGCCATCCATGGTCAACCAACTAAGGTGGGAGAACCCAAGAGACGGATCTGAGCGTCTTACTTCCTCTTCTTGCAACAACGATATGCATAGCTCTGCCCTGAGTCTGGAAGACGTTTTCCTGTGAATTACAAAGCCTAATCACAGCAGGGCGCGGGCTTCTCCTCACACAAGTACAAGCTCAGCAAGAAGAACTATCCCTCTTTCCAAAACTAATTTGATGATTAAAAGCACCAAAGAAAACCTCAGAAATTCTGTGGCTGAAATTTCCTTTTGCTTACAATGAAATAAAGCCTCCTATCCCCGGCACATCCCACCTCTTTTCAAACTCCAGGAGGTGAAAAGCATTGTTGCTTTTCTTACTTTAAAATATTTTAATTCATTTAAACTGTGGAATGCACTATGGTATTTTGAAAGTTGGTAAATTCCAATGCTAAACCCCATAAGTATTCAAAAATTTGATCCCCCTCTCCCCAAAAGTTCGGCTTATTAAATAGAAAAAAAATGAAAATTCTCAAAACTGGAATGCTTTGCTGTCAAAACGACTTGAAAAAGAATCTCCCGACACTCGACACTGGAACATCTTAAATAGCTTTGGACGATACAGAAACCATTCAAATGAAAGCAACCTCCTTAAAGATGAAGACAAAGCATTCACTCTACAAATTGTTCCCCTTCCTTTGTATCCATTTCTTACCAAAAATATAAGTTCATGCTCACAGTCGTGATGAAGTTGTAAAGAAAACTCAAGAAAAATGCACAAATGCTTTCTTCAGATTAAGAATATTTTGGCTGTGGGGTTATGTAATATCTCTAGAATCTGTCAGAAATAGCTGTTCTTATCTGCTTTAAAAAATACAGTGTGCCTACTGCACATAATTCTGGTCGAAAAAGCTACCGCCACAGACGCATGAACCTAACAGTTACACTGAAGCAAAATGTGACAGGACCGAGAAGGCGAGAAGAGAAAGGCGAATCACTCCCACTTCACCAGGGCTCTCACTACTGTGGTGCGATCGCCACCTACTGGTGTCAGGGTGCACAGGTGACAGTCACACCAGGGCAAGGCTTTATCTAGCATGGCGAGGCTTTAGCTTTATCCAGCAAATGTTTCCAAAAACACCTCCTCTACCTCTTAAAATTATTACGTAATAGTTTTACAAGGATCTTTAAACAAGTTAAGATTAACAATGATTTGCATATGGAAAACATTTAGCTCCGAAAAGAAATATTTTCACATATCCTGAAAAAAATGAACAATAAGAAAAATGTCTATTCCAAACCACTCTTTGTTGAAGCTCTGGAGAGTGATATATTTTAAAACACTGGACAGAATGATACTGTTGTTGTTGTTGCTTAGAAACCAAGCCTGTGGTAGACCAAGTTAAGGTTTAAAAATATGTCTTGTAAAAACTGTAATCTTAACCTGAAGTTACCTGATAGTTCCTAAAATGTTCCTAGATGCCAGTATTTAAGCTCACACTTTAAAGGAAGAACAACTGATTATTCCTTACTTTCTAGAGCAAAATCCTGTAAGGATTTTGTTTATCATGATATACCTTCTCCAGTAGAAGGTATTATTAACCTGTACTTCAAAAATAAACATATAAATTAAAACAGAAAGCTTGCTCTCCATGGCCAGTTAGCTGGACAGCTGTGATACAGAGGGGTGCAGAGGGAGTGTCTGGCCGGCTTGGGCGCCAGTGAAGGAGAGATCTTGGGGTCTGCCCCAGCAAATCCCCTCCACTCCTCTCACACAGGATGAGAAACCAGCTATGGATTGTCTGCGGCTTTTTAAGCTATTGGTAGTTTCACTTTCTTGAGCATTATAAGTATTTGCAGTTGGAAAAATTGACAATTGCCATAGCTCATAATCAGCTTAAAGAGTTTGCTTTTTAAGAGAGGGCCTCATTTTCTGTGCCCAGCCGGGCACCCCAGTGAAGCCCTCCCCACACTCTTCTCTAGGAGGGATGCAGATGAGGCACAGTAATATTGTACCTGGTACAAAATAATCACTATGTTTGGGAAAGATTAATATCTAAAATCATTTGTTTGGCTTCAATAAAAAGAAGTAATATTGCTAAATATGTAAGTATGACATTTTGAAGAATTTACCATATTGCATAGATCTGGTAGCTATGCTTAAGGAAATTAAAAAGCACTACAGTCAGCATATTTGATCCTTATTAAAGTTCTGTCTTGAACTATCACTCACATAAAACAAAAATAAACCGAGAAGAAATTTGCATAAAACCTATGGATTACAAGAGTTTGAAGATGAAAAAACGAACAATATTCTGGCTTTAAAAAATTGATTTAGCATGCAGCTTCTCTTCATAGTCCCTTGATAAAAATGAAATCTCCCTAACAAACACTTAATAAAATCTGTCAATATCTCTGGAAAGAAAAATGACACAAATGCATTAAGTATTAAATACCCTTGGAAAAAGTCACATATTCCATGAATTTTTGATGTACTATCTTGACATTAATGTAAAACCTTGATATTTATAATTGACAGATATTTAATAAAGTATAAAAGAAGATGGCTGCTCTGCAGCATGCAAATTTTCCAGGTTGATCAGAAATGAGAGATACAGACATGTACTTAAACTAAATAAACAGTTAATATGTGTTACGCGGATCAGCTGCAGTCTTATTTTAAGCTCAGACAACAAACCTTTGTGGAAACCCAAAAGAAGCAGAATTCATTATTATGTGAATTCTGATTTAGAAACATTTAGATGTGAAAGAACTTTGAAACATTAACTGTTCCAGGAACAAAACACATTTGATTTATAAAGTTGTTTTTTAGCATCTTTTGAATAATAAAAATACACACACATATATAAAGGTATTTCCCAAAATAATTCTCAAAAGAAACACATTTAACCTAAACAAAGCTTCAAAATTCTCCAACGGGGGAAGGGTAAAGAGGATTAGAACATATAAACGGCCTCTAAGCACACACACTTCCCATCGAATACTCATTTCCACCTAGGCTGTCTGTCTTACAGAGAAACCAAGCTGAATACATTTAATAATCACCCTCAATGAGGCATTTAAATATACTAAAAAGAAAGTGGCTCAGTTCATAAAAATGACTCCTAAATACTGTATTTAAAAGAATTTATAGCCTGCTGTAATATATAATCAATTGCTAATTTCAACACTACATACAGTAGTTCAGTGACTCAGTAATGGCTCTACAGTATCAGGAATGACAAAATTGTACCTAGTTTGTTCTAACAAAAAAACATTACAGTAAGTATGCAATTAAAATGTTCTAATTAAAACATGTCTTAGCCTGTATTTGGCCTCTCTCCTTAAGCATATGTTAAAAGGAACAGTTGGGTTAACTACCGTGTTTCCCTGAAAATAAGACATCCTCTGAAAATAACACCTACTTACAGGTTTCCTTCTGAGTGAAATATTAAGGCATCGCCCGAAAATAAGGCTCCCCCCCAGGCTCTGTCTCAGAATGAAAATTAATTTACTGTAAACTGGTCGCTAGGGTCGCCCCGACTGGC